GAGGAGTGGCTATGGAGAAAATGAATCCTTTCTAGAGACTAATAGCACACACGAAGACTACTATAAAATATGTTGTTTATTTTTCAGATTAAAAAAGTCTACTGTGCACAGTAGACTTTGGAACGTTTTTGTTTGGGAGAACACAGTGTTTGAGACAACCAATGGCATAAGCATACATGCAGGAAAGAAAACAAGGGTTGTATTCTATACTCCCCAACTATCAGTGGAGATTTATAATCCAATCCCTAATTCTAATCATATAAAGTCTTATCTAGCAGATGCTCAGAACCCCAATGATCTATATGTGCACAATTCAACTCAACATAGTCTAAAGAATCTACAGTTTACTCAGTCATGCCATAGCACTCACCCCCAAAGATCAAACAGCTACCTCCTCATTTCAATCATTCACCATTTTGATGAATGCTTGGGGATCATTCATCAAACTTTCACTCATCCATGGTCTAAACAATAGTTTAGTTAATATAGTTATTAAAAATCTGCTACATGCTAGGCTCTGTAAGGTAATGGAAAGTAAAACATGAATAGGAAAATATCCCTGTCAGTAGGAGCTCATTATTTATAGTCTGTTAAACAGACACAAAAAGAAGGAATAAAATTAAATTCGATAGCTGAATGTTAGAGGTATAAAGCATGTTACAAATTAATTAAATGGAGGCAATCTAGACAGGCTGGAAAAACAATTTCCACAGACTTATATCTAACCCACTAGTTAGGGAATGACAATATACAATAAATTTCTGGAGGTAAGGTCAACACCTCCAGACACAACTGGAAAAGAACATCTTCGACAGTCATACCTTTTCCTTTACTATAGTGATGGTATTGCCATTTACTGTCCACTAAAACCAGTATCTAAAACATAGGTCAAACACACCTTAGCCTTGCCTTGCAACCATCTCCTTCAAAATTCTACCTTCTCTAGATTCTACCTTGCTTCACTCCCTGGATTCCTAACATCATCCTTTCTTCATTCCTTCTTCACTGTTCATCATTAGGTTATGTTTTCTTTCACCTTGCCCCTTACCCATTCCCTTTCCTCAACAATCTTTGCTAAACATCTCATAGAAGTCAAGATCTCTGCAGTATTCAGCAATCCTGTCTTAATGAAACATTCTCCATAGCCAATGGATGCAAGGACAGACAGAGAAAATACAAGTGGGAACTCAAATGATAAAGCTGCACAAAGATTGCTATTGTAAGACTAAGAAGATGTAACGAAGACAGGCAATTTTCTCTTGTATACATGTAATGGGAATACTGAAGAGGTTCTCATATTATACAACTAGGATGTATTTTTACTTTCCTATGTACACATACTGGTTCATGCAAGCAACTCACAAGGTATCAACAGGTATCTATGCTGGGTTGACACTGGTAAGTAACATCATTATAAGATAAACTGTTGACTCAAAGGTAACCTTTGATTTGGCCATGCCAGTATTAAAAACACTGCCTCCCCTTCTCACACAGCATTTTTACCTAAAATCAAGGATATTCTCTTTATTTCCAAATTAATTTTGTTTTTCAATGCCACACAAAAACCAATTTCATTCATTTTTGAATCTCATTCTTTACTTATCTTCAGGGACAACATGATCCCTTGGTTTTCACTTAAAAACTTTAGCCACTTTCAACAATATTCTTTAATGGAAACTCCTCATGTTTTCAATACCTAAATGCTAGAGCATCCAAAGCTCTAAGACAGATACATGGTATTCCTATCCCCACATATACTCTATCTCTAGATCACTACCTTTTCCATGGCCATACATAATAAGTCACATAATGATTAATCCAAAGTATCATCTCTATCTCCAAATCCTCCAAAGCCCCAGCTTCCTATTTCTATTTTAAAAATCAAAATCTGAACCTGTGGGTTTAATAAGATCTAAAACTGTCAAAATACATCTCTTTTTTTTTATCATGCACTCTGAGAAAACCAATCTTCTCTAGCGTAGTAATAATAGTAAATGACATCACCATTTACTCAGTTGTTGAGGCCTACTAAATCATGAGTCCTATTTGAATCCTCTTCTCGTGTGGTACCATTCAATTTCTTATCATGTAGGACTGGCAATACTTGTAAAATACACCCCAAATTCCAGTATTACTTAATATTTCCATGTAAACCAACCTAATACAATACATTTCATATTACTATTAAAATAACCATGAATTTGCCTTCTTACATATCCACTTGCAATTGTATCAGTGTTTTTACATCTAGGCATCACCCATAGTAATCTTTATCCTACCTAACTTGTTTGAATATATAAAAATAGGGAGAACTTAAGTACTATAGAATTAAAATTTGGAAATCTTGAAAAACCAAAGCAGTTGGTATGTTAAATATGAATAAACACAGACATTGAAAAAGGCAATTCTCACCAAAAGAACTTAAGTGAGAATATTCTATCTCGGAAAAAGCTGAGTGAGAAATTATGGGAGGGAAGACATTTGTAGAAATTATTCTTGAAGATTAAAAAAAAAAGTAATAATTTTAGGTTTTAATTATCTTGTGCAAAAATAAAAATAACATGATTGTTATATAATCCCACGTGACAAAGTAGGTGGAACAATGTAGCACAGACTATTTCAAACCTTCAAATAAACACAGGGATAGTATTTGTAAACAACTGTATTGTTTTGCCTTAGAATTATCTAAAATCCTGTCCTAGATTTAATTTATCAAAAGAGCAACATGCCTGGATTTTTGTGTAAATGGTTTATCAGATAGTGAAGCTCAAGAAATTACGGAGAAATAAGAGGCTATAATCTTCTCCTTAATGCTTTCCTTGGTCCATTTCACTCTAATCCCACTGGAAGGAAGATCCAGTTAAACAAACACTCTGTTGAACATTTCTGACAAGCCATGATACACAAATTCTTCCTTATAGTAGAATACAAACTAATATGTGTGTGTGTGTGTGTGTGTGTGTGTATCCAATAACAGAGGTTTTTTTTAAAAAAACACTTCTTAAAAATCACTTTTAAAGTAAGAATTACTAGGGCCAGCCCATGGCTGACTTGGGAGAGGGTGGTGCTGCCAACACCAAGTCAAGGGTTAAGATCCCCTTACTGGTCATCTTTAAAAAAAAAAAAAAAAAGTAAGAATTACTTGTGAGTACTACAACTATGGCATGAAAGTTTTATGACAAATGAGATATTTACATTGTCTCAAATGTTCCCTCATGGATCTTTATTAATTATAAAGGAATGCTAACTTTAAAATGCTGAAGCCCAGTACACCAACTGAACCAAGTGATCAAAGTTAACTTTACCAATAATGGGACAAAGTGACATCATTTGTCATCTGACATGATTCACTGAGGAAGACACACATCAATTCTGAAGTATTCCTGCCAAAAATGCATAACCTAAACCTCTGCATGAGAAAACAGACAATTCAAAATTTGAGGCATTTTCTTAAAAAACTGTTACCCATTGTTTTTCAAGAATATCAATGTCATCAAATACAGAGAAAGACTGACAAACAGTTTCAGATTAAACAAGACTGAAGAGAAATGACACACCTGAATGCGATACAGGATTCTTTTCTGAATACTGGATAAAGGGAGAAACTACTTTATAAACACGACTGTAACAACCGGTTAAATGTGAATATGGATTGTATATTATGTTATACTTTTATATTAGTGATACATGATCTGATTTTGAAATTCGTACCAAGTTTAATAAAGAGGATGCCCAAGCTCTTAGTGCTGAAGTATTTTGGGTTAAAGGAACTTAGTATCTACAATTTAGTCAGAAACAGGTCACAAAATAATACTACTACATATAAACACAGACGGGGGAGGAGAAGGAAGACAGTGGGAGAGAGGCAAAGGAAGAGAGAATACAACAATGCAAAAAGACAAGCCAATCTGGTTGGAGGGTATATCAGGTTTCTCTATGTGATTCTTGCAACTCTAAATCTAAAATTATTTCAAAAATAAAAATTAATAGCACTGGTATAAGGTATAGTTAGGGAGTTTATTAACTTCCAGGAAGTGCTAAATTTAGAAAAGGCCAATGGTTTCTAGCTCTGACAACAAGATGTTTCTTGGGATTAGAGGAAAAGTAGAGTATTGCTTTATGTTATAAATCATCCATCACTATTTGGTCTCTTCTTATCCATGGCCATTGACTGTTTGAATTAGACTTGAGTTAAAAATAATATTTTCACCTATTAGACTGGCTAAAATTTAAAGGACTGATGACACCCATTATACACAAGTTTTTATGAAATCAGCACTGTCATTACACCACAGCTCTGTGGTGGCCCAGAAAACATTTTCATGGGCAATTTCTCAATATCTACTTAAACCAAAAGTGCACATACCAAAATGACCCAACAACGTTGCTACTAGAAACCTATCCCATAGAACAGGGAGCCCAAGTACAGTAGAATAAATATATATATATTACAATGTAATATATAATATACATTACAACATTACATACAGCAGCAAAACAAATAGACAAAAGGTTAACCTGCATTTCAAAAAATGGAGAAAGGTATAAACCCATTATAACATGTACTTTACATCCAATAAAGTCTGTAGGTAAGCTCTATTTATTGATTTGGAAATATGTTCACAATATACTAAAGATTACAAAGTCACAAAATAATATCTACCATAATGATCACACATTTATAAATGAATTCCACATAAGCTTATGTAAACTTAGAAAAGTTATTGACCACTGTACAAATGGTCAACTCTTGGCACCCCAAGAAAGGAGAAATGGAAGATGGAAGATGAATGACCAGACTACTTATATCATTCATTCTTAGTGTCTCTGTTTTAATGTGCTAGGTGCAAGACTAATTGGAAACATTTAAAAGAACAAACAAAAAAGCTACAACACTCAATTTAGCTGTAAGAGCCAAAAATTCAAAATCTTAAACAGATTTTTCCCATTTTTAAGTTTAACTTCATATGCTGAGGATTCAGAAAAATGACATGGAAAGAGAAGATGTTCTTTCTCTCCCTTTTGATTTCTATACCTAACCACCTTTGCCAGAATAACAATAAGCCTATTCTGTAAGGCTAGGGATCAAAAAACTATAGTCTGTGGTCCAAACCTGGCCCACCACCTGTTTTTGTAAGTAAGTTTTACTAGAACAAAGACACACTCACTTGTTCATGAACTGGTTATAGCTGCTTTCATACTGCACTGGCAGAACTGAGTAGTTGCTACAGTATGGCCTGTAAACTCTTTATAGCCAAAGTTTGCTGATCCTGGGCACAGACTATAAAATATATTATTGTGTGGGTATTATATTGTGCTTCATGTAATTAATGTAAAGGTGTGTTGATTAAGACATTGATTTTCTTATATCCAGAAGATCATTTTGAAATTGGAAAATATTAACACAAGAAATAGTTTGAAATAGACGAATTTAACTTTGGAACTTCAAAAGGAACTTCTCTGCATGTAAAATAAATGGGTATTACAAAAGGAACACAAGTTCTACCTCAGAATCCACCTGCCAACGAACAGAATAACATAATTAGAAAATTGATATTGATGGCTGTACATATTTATGAGAATTTTAAATCATTAAATCTTCTGTTGGGAAAAGTAATTTACTTTCAAGGAAAGGAATTATCATATATAGTCTTAAAATTCTACCAACCGTTTTCATTGCTAATACTGTTCTAGAAAGATTCTATTGGACCCCCCTCCACCTTCACCCAGTATAAACCCTACCTGTTAAAGACTGGGCAATGCAGTAGTAGTTCCCTGATGAAACATGCAGTTTAGGTTCCAAAAGTAGAAAATTAAAACTTAAATAAACAGTATTTTATATCAGGCCCTCTTAAGAAGAAAACAAATGAAAATCAGGATAATGTGGACAAAAGGGAAATCTCTTTGGTACACTGAGTGTTTTACTCCAATCCCTAAAAAGAGAATACTAGTGATAGCAAGAAAATGATGGAACCACATGTTCTAGAAAATGGCATCACTATGGCTCAAAATGTCAGTCTAAGGATCTGGCTCTCTCTCATCACCGATGGTTGTGATGGCATCCAAGTCTTAGGTTTGGGCATTGGGGAAGAGGTGAACTACAGTTAGTAGATCCTTATCTGGCATGAAACCCACCAGGTTCAACCAAAACAGTAACTAGAGAAATTCTAGTCCAGATAACATTTAAGACAATCTTGTTTGGGACCTAAGAACTATAGTCTCCTGATACAAACAAGGAAGAAAGTACCATACGAATGGAAACAGAACTGACACACTAGAGGAACTCAACTTGTGAGAAAGTCTGGCTATCATCTGGGGTGTGACTGAGGTGTTTATGGGGTTGAATTAATTATATTTAACACACACAAATATCACTTCTATTTTCAAAGTAAAATATACATTAAAAAAATACAATGAGATATACAACAACCCTGGAAAGCACAAAATATTTTGAGAACACAGAAAAGTACTTAGCAGCATTCCAGGCAATTACTTGCCAAAAAGCAGGTCACTTCTATTCCTGGGTGAACTTCTATAAAATTTGTGCCCTTGAGATAAAAAGATGCAATAAGATCCCAGAAAAGAGGAATAAAGACAGCATTGCTGTGATGTTGCAGACGAAACCACTGCAGAAAGTGTCTGTGATCTTCTTGTCCTCAAGGTCACCACCTGGGAGAGTACAGAACAAGAGATTGCAAATGGAAATAAATAGCTTATCAAACAGCCATACCTTATGACAGACAGGTATCATCTTCAAGTCAAGCATTTATGGAACAACTCTCACAATCCTAATGTTAAATAATTCCCAAGCTACAACAACCAGGTATACTTACTGTATGAAAATGATGAAACTGTCATTTTCCTTCCTCTGCCTGTTTGTTGTTATTTGAGTACCCATCTCCTATTCCAAATTATTGTCATCCCATTCAACCACCTACTCATTCTGTGAAGCAGCATTTCCTGTGTAGCTTCTGAGTGCTAATTTACATATCATTTCAAGGTTAAAAAAACAAAGACCCAGATCAAGAAAACATTGATAAAGTACTCTGTATAGTCTATAGTATTTCATGAAAATTTTTATAAAAACCAAAACCTATTATCACAACATCCACATATCCATTCTTCTCAGATGCTTCTTGTACAATTTCTGGTGGTACTAAAGTTAGGTAAATTTCTTGTATATCAACTCCTAGATGCATTAATTGTTGTTTACTAAGAGATAACTATAAAATCCATGGTTACATTATCACTTCAAACTCATCATATAGTTTAATGAAAAATAAATTCTATTCCAAATAACTCAGACAGGAATATAATCTATCATCAACACGGCCAAAAGGATATCTTAAAAATTAGACTATAGGCCTTAAATGCTCTTACCTGCATGAAAGGTCTCTTTGGTCCTTGCTTGTGAGACATGCTTGTGAAAGAAAAAACAGAAATGTTTGCAAATATTTGAAGAATGTTCATTCACTCATCAAACGAAAAGTTGTCAAAAACCTACTCTCACCACCCCAATATTGGAATATACCTCAGCTCGTCTGCTCATCTTAACTACCCACTGATAACATCAGCAATAGCCTAAATCATGTACCTGGAACTAAAATTTAACCTTCTGCTGTCCTTATGAGCCATATTATTTGATGAAAATTCTACTTCTTATAACTTTGTTTTTCCTCTAACACCTTTTTATACCCCTTTCACTCTTTTCTTCCCTGACCTGTCTAAATTTCTTATCTCCCTCTGTCCATCCGCCAGTGATGCATTTATTCCAAAACATTTACTGAATATCAGATGATTTAAAATTTATTGAGTGTACAGACAAAAAAAATTATAGTCTCTGTCCAGATAACATCATATTCAACGGTAAGAGTAGATAAGAGTATTACTACTCAAAATCTACATAACCTACATTTCAATGCTGCAACAAAATTTAGAAGCCCTATTAGCTCTTCTATTGCATCTAAATGATAATCACATTACACAATTTGACAATCTTGTAAGCTTTGTGGAAACCATATAATGGTTTTGGATTTTAAAATACCATGGATGAATTAGATCAATATCAAACTGGTCAAAAAATAAACAGTATGTCAGAATTAATGATTCCCACCAACACTTTGGAAGAATGAAGTCCACAAAAATGATTTAAAAAGTACAATGATTCAGATGTATATGGAAATGTGAGACAGCAAAGAATCTACAAGGTCTCACTTCTTAAACTGGTAAAACGTCAGTTGAAATTGTGCAAAATACCGGAAAATTGTTAACATACCATGACATAATATACAGAAGGTGAAGTGGGCTCATTCTTCAACCTCCTTAAAATTCCCAAATTATTAGAATATATTTTAAAAGTTGACTAAAGTACTTTGTGAACTTACTATAATTGCTTTTCCTTTTTTTTTGCTTATTTACCATCAACACTTTCAGATTCCTACCACAAAACTTCTCTGGTTTCATAAATAATGAATTATTCCATGACACCTTTTATTTCAACTTTATATTTACTACTTTTTATTGTTAACAATCTATTCTTGTACTAATCAAATACCCTACCATCCATTTTTTAATCAAATTCCTGTACCATCCCTTTTTCAATCAACCCATCTATGCACCAATCCATCTATCAAGCCACTCTAAAACCACTGATAATGTAGCTATCACACTCATGCAATCAATTTTTCTATGCATTGATCCCAGCGTTACCCATTATGCCAGCCATACTTTATCCATCGACCTAAAGATACATTTATCCATACATGATCCATGGACACCACATTACATTTTGAATCCATTCCAATTCTAACATCTAGACATCTAACCATCTACACCTTAACTGAATAAAGACTACATTAATGCTTCTATTCACACATCCATCCAACTGGGTTTTCCAAATATCATTCTTGATTCTTGTACCCAGCAATCTACTCATATATTCTAGTTTCCATCCCTTCTTACAGCATTCTAGCCACCCAATTTTGCATACATCTTTATTGTATCCTAAATGCCATAAAAAAGTTTCTTGCATCCATCTTTCCAGCCTTCATACTAAATATCTCATCTTGCCTTCCTTCATTCACTATTAAATCCATATAAACCTGCACATATAGAAAAATTTCACTTACCATTTCTGCATCCTTCCTTCCTTCAATCCATCCTTCTATCCATCTATCCACTCCTACACTGACCAAGATTTAAACCATCAATCCAACCCTCCCTTCTTATATGCACTCATCCACCAATCCTTGAATTTTTGCATGTGGTTTTCCATCTGTAGCCAATTTAAAGTCTCAGCAACTTCAAAATCTCACTGACGTAACACAACATATACTTTTCCCCATGAAAAGATCCCCTGTGGGTCTGATGTGACGGCTCTCAGGAAAGCTTTGCCTCATATGACAGTTCATTCAGGGCATTCTCTTGTGACACCTTCACCTCAATGCATGGTTCAACGATCACCATATGTAAGAGATGAAGGAAAATCACATACCACATACTAAAATCTTATGCCCACGATACATACTATGTATTTTCACATTTCTAAATTAGTTTTACTGCCAAAGAAACTAAAAACCCATGATTACCTTAAGACTTAAAATGACCTTGGGGTCCCAACTCTATAGGAACAGACAGCTCCCTAAAGGACATACCCCACACTGCCTATCTTAAAAATAATTAAGCAAGATAAGGGGAATGGGAAAACGTCCCAGAGGGAAAAGCTAGGGCCAAAGAGAACAAAGGACAAGTACGCATCTCCTAAGGCCTAATAAAACATTCTCCACGACAATAGAGGAGAATTGCTATGTTTAAGTGCTTAGAGTTGCCCTGCCCTTCTACATCATTGCACACTGGAAAGTCAGGTGCAGATAACTGTAACCCCACACTGCCTATCTTAAAAATAATTAAGCAAGATAAGGGGAATGGGAAAACGTCCCAGAGGGAAAAGCTAGGGCCAAAGAGAACAAAGGACAAGTACGCATCTCCTAAGGCCTAATAAAACATTCTCCACGACAATAGAGGAGAATTGCTATGTTTAAGTGCTTAGAGTTGCCCTGCCCTTCTACATCATTGCACACTGGAAAGTCAGGTGCAGATAACTGTATTTTTTTTTTTTCCTATTTTGTCTTTTTTACTGACCGGTAACGGGATCGCAACCCTCGGTGCTGCGCCTGCACCGCGCTCAACCAGTGAGCGGGAACCGGTCTCCACAAGGGATCCGAACCCTCAGCGGGAGCTCCTCCGCGCTCCCAAGCAGCGCACTATCCAGTGCGCCACTGGGCCGGCCCAGATAATTGTATTTTAAGTTCACATATCTCTGGGTCAAAAGTAGGTACAATGAAACCTGAGGTGCATGCAGATTACTGCAGATCTCAAGTGAGGAGATCCCAGTGCATAACTAAGCTAAATAAGGTTTTGGTTCCCTTTCCCTGGGAAAGGGTCAAAGTTTACTGGTAAGTAGAAAGCAAATCCAGTATTTGAGACTAGAGGTATCCTACGATAGACATTAATAGTACTCAATGTGTTCTATATCCTTTCACTTCGAAAACATGAAGAAATACACTTTCATAACACCCTGAAGTTTCAGATGGCCATGTGATTAATTTCTTTTGCCCAACTTATGATTGGGCATTTAAGAACTATTGCATGATTTTCTATGATCTCTTCTATAGCTTCAATTAACGATAAAACTTTGCTGTGATGAAAGCAACAAGAAATAGTCTTTTAGATATGTGACCCACGAATGACTTCCACGCACAGGACTCCTAATACCTGTTGGACAGGTACTGCGAGAAATACGTTTATAGTTTTAAGTCACTGAGATTTAGGAATTAGCCTTTCTTTGTAGAGTATGTATAAAACAAATGTACTTCACAAAGCCTGGTTTTCCAAAGCTTTGCAGTTTCAAGTACTGACCTTATAAAAAACAGGAAATTTTTGGCCGGCCCGGTGGCGCACTGCTTCCGCTGTGCTCCCAAGTGGTGCACTGTAGCAGTGCGCCACCGGGCCGGCCCAAAGACAGACAAGTTCTGATTGATATGTAAAGATACTGGGAAGCTCTGAAGGGAGAAGGAATGTTTGCTAAGATCAAGCTTTTGTTGGTGGGTCACTTAATTGCCTTACTGAAATGTCATCTGGCATGTTTTACTGAAAGTTTCCAGCCTATATTGTTAAAACTATAACCCCACCTATGTCTCTTCCTGTAACTTCCTGGTCTGGAGAGTAAGTGTGGAAAAAGAACCCCAATTTGTGGTTAATTTCCCAAATGGAAGGAATGCCTCTATTTTGAGGGTTCTGGGAGATTAACCCCTTTCTGGGGCTTCTCACTGCTCAGAAGAGATGGGCTTTGAGTAATCTTTGGCAGCTCCGTCACCCAGGGGAAAAGGAGTGACAAATCTGTGACCTATATTCTTCATTCTTATACCCACCTTCTGTTCACTCTGCATTCTCAATATATCTGTCTGAAGATATATTTTTTTTAAATTATTACTCCTTTCCACTGTTACCTCAACCCATATATATGCACAAGTTCACGTATGTATACCACCATTACAAAATAATAAATATTATATTCATTCTTGTTTCTTAATTCCATTCTGAATGCATTTCTGGATCCATCCACAAACATAGCCATCCACTTCTGCATCATCTGCACCAGCTGGGCATGCAGAACTCAGTACAGCTGAGAGTTTGACAGTCTCTAAATCATGGCTTAACTGAACTTTTTTTCCCACGGCTGGAGATCCAATCAGCCTGGCTGATTTTAAAATCATTACATACAATATCAGGTATTGAGCTTACAATCTCGACCAAACACTTAAGCTACCTCAAGTCATTATGAAGGGAAAATAACAGCAGAGAATAACTGAGGATTTGTTTTGGAAACTCCTCTGCTACAGAAAGCTTTTCTACATATTCCTCCAAGTATTAAAAAATCCTACCTTCATACTTAGGCAACTTTGCCAGGAATATCTGTTTTTCTCCCTGTAATATTGCAAAAATCACCAGTCCCTTGAATACTGAACTAAAGCCAAATTTCTCTCTTCCTTGTTTTATTTCTAACTTATCTTATTATATACATGCCCATACATTTCACAACAATTTCATTCATGCAATGTCCCATTTGAAAAAATTCTGTTGGAAGCTCAGTAATTTCAGCTACCCCCAAGAGCACCAGACACAAAGATAATTATCAGTTTTGATGATGAAAAGAATACAGATACCATTTTCTTAGTTTTTATTTCCTATATTCCAGTTTTACCCTATTTCTACTCATATACCAGAAATCATCCCATAACAGTATATAAATATCCATCAATCCTTGTTATAGCTGCTTATTACTAGATGTGTATGTAAATATGCTAAGTACTAAACTCCTGTCTACAGAGGTTTTAAATTTTACACTCCTACCAGCAACAT